TTCTCCTATTTCATTCATTGTACTTTAAATCTTTTCAATTTTTTTCACTGAACTTAACACATTAAAATTTTTTTGTCACTTAATCGTTAAATAATTAACAAAGTTCAAATAGTTTGTTATATAGATGCAAAACGATGTCATTTTGGTGAAAATTTTATTTTTTAAAATGACATCAATTTTAACATCGTTAACTATTTAACGGCTGAATGACCAAAATAGGAGAGAGAGTAAAGTTCACTGACCACAAAAATTCAATGTATCAAGTTCAATGAAAACGTTAAAAACTTTTAAAGTTCAATGAGTTAAATAGGAGATAGAGTAAAGTTTAGTGATGACATTTGTAATTTACCCTTTAAATTTAACACAATATTATTTTTATTTCAACAAACAACATAGATAGGAAAAAGTTTAGAATCCATTTTCTTGTAATTTTTGTTATTAATAATTACTTATAGGTTTTAATATTTTAAAAATAATTGTTATTATTAGTTTTGGTTATAATCACTATTATCTAAATTCTTGACCTATTTAAACTATCAATTTCATCTTTAATTCTAAAATGCTAACAATAAGTTAAAAAAAATAAATAAAATGTCTACATTTGCTTTGGATCACCCACATTAATGGGTGTCATGTAATCTAGTTGTTAATTAAACGTGTTAAAACTACTTAGATAATTAAGCATGATTAGTAGTAAGAAACAATTGACTTTCCATGACCACCCGATGTGGAGACACGTGGGTCCCAATTGTAGTAATCAGCGGTCAAGAAAAGACATGGAAGAGATCCGGGGGGTCTTTGACAATGTTTGATCCTTGCTCTTCCTAAATGGCCGACCACTTACAATCGCATTCAACTAAAGTGGGAAAATAGTAAAAAACATATTTGTAAATTAAATTCATCTTTAAAGTGAGTAGTGCAACCAACTGTTGGGACGATCATTTGAATCAAATTCGACAGGTTCGTTCAACTTAATATTACAAAGTTATAATTTTTTAACATTTAGATTTAAATCGAATTGAGTCGGATCAAATTCAAGTTTATAACAAAATTTCAAGGATAATTGTTATAATACTCATATATTTATATTTCTTTAAGTAGGTCCATATTTTATATGATAGAAATGAGAATATACGTGTGTGTCAAATCTAGCCGAGTGTGAGTTTTTACATTAAAAATCGAGTTACTTTTTGAGTTGGTCGAAGCTTCCCTCAATTCGGGTTAGATCAAGTGAGAGATAGAGGGGTGCTATGCTTGGGTCATGTTTGAATGGGTCAAAAACCTAATCTGACCCATGAGTATCCCTACTAACAACTAATTGATCTAGTGATATGAGATATTATATCATTTAATTAAGATCCCGACGTTATAAATGTAGGAAACTAAGTTCAAAATGATCACCTCATAATGAATTTATACAATAATGATTCAAATTAATCGATCAAATTTTAAGGATTAATCCAAAAAGTGAATTGTGTAAATTATTCAAGTCCATGATGGGTTTAAATTTAAAAGAAATGTAAAATGGGCCGACCACTTAAACAATAAATGAAAAAGACACTTGGTTTTTTTAGCATAATGTAAAAATCATGGGTTGGACCAAGCTTCAGTGGAAGACCTCACCATCTCTTTCATGTAGGAAAAAGCCATTGAAGGTACCTTTCCAAGCTTTTGGGGAAATTTCACTTTAGACTGAAGGACATTAAGTCTCAACTTCCACCCGTATAGGGACTCATAAGGTAGTGTTCGAATATGATATTTTTGGATTCGAATTCAGGATTCATAAGACCCTTTTTAGTATTTGAATATAAGGTTTTTATATTTGGGTCGATGGATTTAAACATTGCTGTTTAAGATTGCTAGTTAGGTTACATTTAGCTTTAATAATCTTACATTACCTCCATGGTTTTCAGAACCGGACCGGTCAGCGAACCGACAGTGCTACCGGTTCACTGGTTCAACCGGTTCAACCGGTCAGAAGAATCGGACGTCGTAATTAATTAATTATTTAAAAAATTAAATAAAAATATAAAAAAACATTTAATAAAAAACAATTTTTTATATCACAAGTCATATTCAAATTAAGTTATAACATATATATAAGTTAAAAACCATAAAATCAAGTGAAACAAAATGATTCAAATAAACTACAACATAATATTTAAGGTAAAACATATTAAATAATGAATATAATTATATAACTATAATCAAAAAATAAATTTGGGGCTAAAAAAATCATAACAAACGATGTCGTTTGGTTTATTTTTTTAAAAAAAATCCTACATGGCTAAGAAACATAGAAGAGCACCACAAAAGTCTAAAGAGTAAAAATATGAAAACAAAACAATCTCACATGGCTAAGAAACATAGAAGAGCATCCCAACTGACTTCTATAAATAATAAGGGTAATTTGACATTCAAAATCATGGAGCCTTTTGGTGAGCACAGAGCGAACTATTCTTTCGCTTCAATCGAGCTTCTAAATTTTTTTTGAGTTCGAGCCTTTTTGAGTTCAAGTTTCAATATTATATTTCAAGTTCGAGTTGAACTTGATAATTTTTTTTGAGTTTACTAGTAACGGTTTAATCGGTGTAGAATGAACCGGACTAGGCAGCGGTTCCCGATTGAACCGGTTGAATCGACCGGTCCAATTTTCAAAACACTAATTACCTCTAATAATATAAATTTGAGAATAAAATTATTTTGTTTGATTTACAACTTCATCTTGATGAGTTGATATGATATTATAGAAATTAAAGTTAGAGAATATATGTATAACTACAGAAATCCTCACATTTGTATAAAGTGTCACATTTTAGATAATTTTATCTGTAAAAGTTATTATTTTTTAATTTAATCATGCTAAATAAAATATAAAACATAAAAAGTCCCTTCTTTAAGTATTTGTACATATAATTCTTAAGTTTATTTGGAACAATTTATACGTCATAATGGTTGTTTTGTTTGTAGTTTGTTTTTTTTAAGTTAAAATGATTATAAAGTAGTATATATTTTAAATATTATCTTCAATCATTTGATAATGAACATTCAGCCACTCTTACAGTCACTGGTGCTTGACTCATGGCCTTCAGGAACATCAACTATTTTTTTAACCATTAAAATAAGTTGATTCGTGCTTATAGTTTATTTTCAAACTTGTTAATGCTAGACACGACATGAAAAATATTATTAAAATGTATTTATGATATGTACAATTATTATTATTAAATACATTATAAATAATGTATTTATTAAATATATTTATTTGACTCGTCATCCCTAATAACAATTAGATAAGGAGGGAAATTTCCCGGAAATTCCCCGAATCGGTTAGATTTTTTTAAATTCGAGAATCAAAATAGGTTTTTATTAAACTTATTTAAAGTTGGGTGGAGAGATTTAAATGAAACCTATAATTATATATTTTACTAAATTCATCTTCTCCACAATAAAATATATTTCCTAAACATCCATATTTGCTCAACCTCGAAGCTGAAACGATTCTCATGAAGCTAATGTCCAACCCCATAAAGACAACTAGAAGGAGAAGTTAAGAACAAAATATTGATTTTTGTTTTCTCTACAAAAAAAAGCTCGGTAGCTTCCATGAACCATAAAAAAAATGTCAAAGGGGGAGGAGTGAGCCTGAGCGTTAGACAAGACGACAACGTACTGTACTCTGTTCACGTGCATTCAATTCCACACTGTCTCTCATTTCTGCACTCCAACACGTGTACTCTTCTCTGCCCTTAATTCTAAATTGCTACGGTCCTTTTGGCCCACTCTCCCTACCCTTTGTCTACTAACACTAGGATTTTATTACCATCTTTCAAATTTAATTTTTATTTAATAATTTTAGTTTTCTATTTGCTATTTTTTCATCTTTAATTATTGATTTTATGATTTTAAAAAGATAAGATAATTTTTTAGTCTTTTATATGCATAATTTTTTTATATTAATTTAACTCCTAAAAAATTATAAATATAGATGATTAAAACATTATATTGTTCAACTAATGATATTTTTCTAATTATTTTTATAGTTAAAATATGAGAGAGGAGTTAATTATAATGACTAATAAAATTAGTATAATTATATATTTTAATTTTCATTACTTATATATTATATTAATTTCATCATAATTTTAATATAATTTAATAAATTTAATCGTTCAATTAAATAGAGACACATATTACGAGTGATATATATCATGAAATCTGTCACTATATTATTAAATATATTTTTTTAATTTTAATTTATTTAATTAAATAAAAAATAATCAAATAGCGGCACATATCAACATTTGACAAAAAAATATTTAAAAATACAAAATTTTAAAGTTATTTTTTATTTTAAATATTGTATTAATTATATATATAATATTCAATTTTAAGTCAATTATTATATTTATTTAAGTGCTCCAATGCCCTCTGAGTGAGCTAGGTTTAAGTCATTCTTTAACAACTTTTATTTCCTTTTTTTCTGTGATTAATTATAACATAAGATATATATGTCTGTCATTAGTTATGAATATCTTCATCTAATTGAAAAATTAAATTTATTAAATTAAAATTAAGATCAAATTGATATAATATATAATTAATAATAATTATATGTATATTTTTTTTGTTAATTGTTACATCAATTTTTTTCGTCAAACGATAATAAAAAATGACTTGATTGACATCATTTAAATAATTAAATAATATAATTAATAAAATAATAATAATTAAATTAAAATTCACTCATAATTAAGTGATCACGAGTATTATTTACTAGTTGAACTAACTTTTCAATCTTCGTAAAATATTAAAATAAATTTCTGACAAATTAAAATAGGACTAACACGGATGAAACTCGTAATTAGAACTATTTTAAATTTATTTGATTATTATTTTTGGATAAACCAAAACCCTAGACCACTTTTAGAAATATCTAATATTCTAATCCATTCCCGGGGATGATCTGGTTTCTATTATCTTCTTCACTATATTTCAATTTTCTCTTCTTTTATCTCTGTATTTTTAGTTCAACGTTTCCAAGAAGGAAGAATCCTTGGTTGGGTCCTCCTGCATTTATGTTCATCGGATAAACAAAACAAAAAACAGTTTGAAAGAAATGCATCCCATTAAATATGGTGCCCATCCTCATCTTCAACTGCAGCAGCAATTCATGGCTGATGATAACGATTCTTCATCTTCTTCAGTTTTCTTCATTCCCAATCCCCAGCAACAACAACAATCTGTTTTCCCTTACCCTTTACATTCTCAGCAGCAACACCAACACCATGAGAATCTTTCGCAGCAACATTCGAGTCCAGTAACCCATCAGCTTTTCCAACACCATCAAGCTCAGTTTCAACCATTTCGACACCCAGAATCTGTTCATCATCATACTCATCAGCAACATCTCTTTTCAGCTGTTAATTTCAAGTTGGGTCTTAACGAGAATAGTGGGGAAAAAGAGGTTGTTTTGCCTTTGAATCATCAACACAACGAAGCTAGTTTTTTCCATGGAAATCAGCAACATGAACATTCCCTTTTGGTTCCCCATTGTTTGCATCCCCATGAAGATTCTCCCATGAAAGAACCCTTTTGGTAATTTATTATAATTCTTTTTCTTACTCTAAAGTTTTTTCCTTTTCTTGTTTGATTTCTTTGTCACCATGTGTTTGTTGAAATGTTACCAGGAAACCCTTAAACAAATATGAAGATAGGCAGTGTAGTGGAAATAACAAGGTTTCGCAATCCAAAAGTGAGAGAAGCAAGAATTTGGATAACAAATATAGACTCTTTGGTGAGCTTGAAGCAATTTATGGGCATGGAAAAGGTGAAGGAAAAGCTGCTCAAGCTGGTTCTGGATCTGCTCTCACTTGGGAGAATTCACCTGCAAATGTTTCCATCTCCATGCCCTTAACTGAGTTTCATGGCCATAATATAGGTGGCAATGGTGGGGTTGGTAATGGATCAGAGAGCACTTCTATTGTGAAAGAAGCTTCATTGAGGAACAAGATTCAAAAGAAGAGTAGGAAGATGAAAATGGAGGAATTGAGTTCAATGGTTGTGTTTTTTGGGAGCTTGGTGAAACAAGTGACTGATCATCAAGAGTGTCTCCACAAAAGGTTCTTGGAAGTGGTTGAAAGAATGGATAAAGAGAGGTCAGTGAAAGAGGAATCATGGAGGAGAGAAGAGATTGAAAGACGTAATAGAGAAGCCATTGCAAGAGCACAAGAACAAGCTTTAGCTTCAAGTAGAGAAGCTCTCATTGTTTCGTATTTGGAGAAGATTACAGGTGAAAGCATCAGTCTTCCACAAAGGACTCCATTGTTTGTGCAACCTGAAAGCACGATTGTTAAAGCTGATAACAATGGCAGGTGGCCTATAGCTGAAGTTGAGGCCTTGATTCAAGTGAGATGCAACTTGGAATCAAAGTTTCGAGAACCTGGATTAAAGGGTGCTCTTTGGGAGGAGGTGAGCTCTTTAATGTCTTCTTTTGGTTATCAAAGAAGCGCCAAAAGGTGCAAAGAGAAATGGGAGAACATTAACAAGTATTTCAGGAAGAGCAAAGAGACTGGTAAGAAGCTCTCTCAGCAATCAAAAACCTGCAGTTATTTTTATCAATTGGATCAACTCTACTCAAGAATACCAATTAACAGTGACATTGAGATCCAAAAGCAAGGTGATTCAGACTTTTTGGAACCCTATATTCCTCAGAGAGACCTCGTCACTGATCAAGTTGACGTTAATGGGAACCTTAAAGTTTCTGAAATGAACTCCCCAAAGTTGGATTTTGATGGCACAGTAGGTGATAAACAAGGAAGCAACGTAAAGGACAATGAAAGCCGTGAGAATTACTCGGAGAATGATGGTAATGTGCAAGAAGACGATGATAATGACAGTGATGGGGGAGAATGAGAATTGAGGTCAACCTCCTAAAGGTCTTCTACAAGGTAAGCATTTTTTTGAACTCAAGGATTTCCAGTGCTAATGGTGTGCTTAGTTCCGCAAAGTTAACTTCAACTATGGGTTATCTATAAGCAATATGTGAATGTAGACCTCTGATCTGTCTTGATGTCTTAGCCATTGTTTTTACCTTTGTTTTTTCTCTTGTATTCATCTGCTTATGCACCATAGGTAGTTTTTGTTTCAAAATTTCAACCTCAATCTTTGTTTCCCTCTTCTCTTCACATTAATGTAGTTGTTTTGGCTGCTAGGGGGGACTTTGTTTTAAATGCATGCATACATACATATATGTGCCTCTCTCTCTCTATATATATATATGTATGAACTAAGTGACTTCGTGAATAAATGATTGTTGTTGTCTCTTGAGGTCTCAACCTCTTAGGTTTGAACACGACGTTTGTAGGAGTATGAACTTTTATTATCAAATAATTAAGAGTATTTCGAATAAATATAATATTATATTCAGTATTAACCCGGACTAATATATATATATATATATAATGGTTCGTTGCTATGGTAGGATGATGCCATGAATAAGCACAGTGCATGTAATTGGAGAGTACGTGGGGTGGGGTGGGGCCTGTTACCTGTACATGGCATGGGACGACACGACACAGGAAGTGTGCTTCACTCATCCATTATAGAGTTGAAAAAGAAATATCTGAGATTCTGCAAAAATCTCTGAGTACGTATTGCATGATTTTAATGAACAGATGAGAGAGATGACATCAAGTTTGTAAGAAGAGCACGAACGGTTGTGACCCGATTCTCACATGCCTCTCTCTTCATCTGATTTTTCAGCAGTGACCAATCCCACTTGTTTTTCTGCACCCTCTTTCATTGCTTTTGCTTTTCATCCACCACCAATATTAACTCACTCACCCACGCTTCACTCCAATAATTTTCTTCTCGGGTTTCTAAAAGATTTTGGCCTTTTCTTTTTTCAGTTTTTTAATTAGTATCAATTTTAAGATATTTATTTGTTACATTTAATTATCTATTACTCCTATTAGATAATGAGACATTTATGGATGATCATGGATTAACTTGAATCTATTTTTTGATTTATTTAAATTTAATTTGAGTATAATATTTTTTTATTTATCATTTAATCTGATATAAATTTAGAAAACTTTAATTCATATTAAAGCTTGATTTGATTTTTAAGTTAAATACTCAAATATGTATCGGCACAAATAAATAAATATATATAATTCTCATTTTTATTAGATACAATATGAGTTTAATTAAAATAGTGAAGAGTATTATAGAAATTATCTTTAAATATATAAATGTCAATTATGCTATTTTTCTATGATCGTATAGGGTCGAGCCTAAATCTTCAACAACAACAAATTACCCTATAGGATGGAGGCAGAAACTATAATATTTTTCACCCACAAAAGCGATGAGTTAGGACGTTATTTGTAATGAGAGCCTAATTACATTTAAAAGAATTATACACATACTCCATAATATTTAAATCCTACAATCTTATTATTTGTATGAAATGACCATACAGTTCAGTTGGTAGAGCGCAAGGCTCTTAACCTTGAGGTCGTGGGATCAAGTCTTACGAAGGGCATTTCATAATTTGAAGGTCTCTTACGGAAACTGTTCTCAACCTAGCGTTGGGGGCAACCTACTATCCTACCTCCCCCTTACCTTACATATGAGAATAAGGGTCAGCTAATTTTTAATCTTATTATTTGTATGTCACATGTCTCATTTAGAATTTAATATTTAAGGTTTAGAGTAGTGGTAATATACATAGGAGGTTTAAATTAAAATTTTAATTTTTTAAGGTTTACTTTATTTTGTTGGAAAAAAATAAAGGTATAAATAATTTTGTCTTTTAAAAAATGAGAGTTGAGAACTTTTAAAAGTGTTAGGAGGGGACTTTATTAAAATTTTCCGAAATTTGAAATATAATAAGAACTTTTAAATTTTTTGAAGATGCCAAATTAATTTTTTTCTAAAAATTAAATATTAAAATAGTGGAGGGCCAACATCCACTAGCCATGCAATTAAATAAATCAAAGGTTACTTCAATTTGCATGAACAATATATATGATACTTAAGTTTTAGGGTTTTCATTATCTAACTTATAATTGAAATAAAAAATATATTAGGATGGTGTTTAGGTCACAGTATTTCTAAATTTCTAATTAAATCTCACATGCATTTATCACTTTTGAAAGAATTTGAAGTTTATATCTTTAGAAGTTTTTGCTCTCATTAATGGTGATCTGAAGTGAAAGGAACACAACCAACGAGGTTGCTTTAAGTGATAAATAGTTTGATATCGTTTAAATATGTCTCAAGTTTGAGGTCTTGTATATGTAAAATATATTCACTAAAAAACTCACCCATCAAAACTAAATATGTAATACGAGTCTGTCTGGATATTTTATGAGATATAAAATTAGACCATAAAAACATAAAAATACTTGAATTATATATGAATTTAAAATTTTAAGAGAGTGCGATCGCCTCTAATACTTCCCTTGATCTATTCATAAGCATAAGGGAAATATCCAAGAATCTCTTAATAATTTTCATTCAAATTTAAATAATTCTTATATGAAACAATTACTTATTGTAAGGAAAGGGAAAAATAGATATTTTTTAAAAATAAAAATATTAATTTGAACCAACATATACCATATATAATGATAAGATACATTGTACTTTTAAGGAATAAATATTATGTTCAAACCTTAGAGATATATTATTTGAAGAGAATTCCTGCACTTCGTATATGAATTGTAAAACAAATATCGAAGACATTAAATTTAAATCTTGTAGATAAAAAAAAAAATACCGTGTTTGAACCAAAGACCATAACGTAAAAAACATCCCTTCCTTGCCCTTTTCCTTAGTTTTGAAAGTAATGAAAATTGCTTGTAAAAAGGGCAACCGTACGAGATTAGATAATACAGTTTTCTTAAACGAATCGAAAAAAAGTTAGGAATAAAAACCAAAGATGGTGTATATCTTTGCTTTGCGTTCACAGTGCTACACACCATAACTCAAGAGATGTGGGAAGAGTTGCAGGCTTAGGTGGCTGAATTATCTTGGACCATATATCAAAAGAGGCAACATATCCCATAATGAAGAGGAACTCATTATCAGACTCCATAATCTTCTTGGCAACTGGTTTTTGATCTTTCTTTGTTCACTAGATTCGAACTCGAGATATTATTTAAGCGATACGTTATGTTGTTTAATGAATGTTCAGATGGTCTTTAATAGCCGGAAGGTTACCTGGGCGAACAGAAAATGAAATCAAGAACTACTGGAATACTACAACGGGAAATAGAGCCAAAGCTCAAGCATCCGCCGAATGTTCTCCAGAGGAAATCTACACATAAAATAGTATCAACTGAGGGTGGAGCCACTGAGCCCTCGAGTTCATCCCAGGCTACGAAAGCGAAAATCGAAGTGATTCGGACTGAAGCCACTAGGTGCAACAGCCAAGCCATATTCCCATTGCGGCCACCTGCAACTCAAGATGTTGATGTTACCAACTAAACACAAGTTTGTTTAGCAAATGATCAAGTAATGGGTGATGGTGCAGTGGTTGAAGCACACAATGGAACCCATTTGTTGAAGTCAATGATCAGCTGAAAGCAAGCGATGGAGAGTTTGAGGAACCCATTGATGAGGCAATGTTCAAGGACTGGGCTGCAAATTAATCCTTGTCTTAACGTCGACAATGCTGCCACCGACATCAACAAGCTTCGAGATGTGCGTGATGGTGCAACGGTTGAAGCACACAATGGAACACATGTGCTTGATTCGTCGTACTTTGATATCGATGATCCGCTGAAAGCAAGCGATGGAGAATTTGAGGCAATGTTCGAGGATTCGACTGCAAATCCTTGCCTTAATGACGATTCCGCCGGCGATTTAGAGTCTTTGCCCTTCTTGGTTGACCGTGGCGAATGGCCTTGACAAGGGAATCATTGGCTGCATCTTTTCGTAGACCAAATTCTGCCATACAAATTTGCTTGTTGGACGTTGCATGTCATAAGAGACGGATGTATGTCGATGGTTTAACTACATTTAGACCACTGATAATTTTAAAATCATTGCAATCAAGACCTTATCTCTTGCAACATTTTCTAGTTTAATTTATTTCAATGATCATGTACTTAGTTTTCAAATTAATGTAATTAAACATTGACCCTAGTTTCTGGGTTTAATTATTTTTAAGATTTTAAAATTTGGTGAAATTAAATTCTATTTTTAAATATGTTATCAATTTATTTATATTTAAAATCAAACACATAATTTTTAAGAGTATGTAATGGTCCATATCACAACAATGACAAATAAGTTCAATTTGAAGTGTAACATTAGGTGAAGACATGTTTTTTTAAGAAACAGTTTGACCATGAGATGAATCACTACCAACCAGTAAAATTTTGAAATATTGTGGGTAGGAAAATGCAACTATTGGATAATTAATAGAAAATGAATGAGTCTCACGCACATGATCCTCGAATTAGCATTTTTCTATTTTTTTTCTCACCCATGATATTTCTTAATTTTACTAAGAGCTGAGTTTGATTGACACTATCTCAATTTTTGATGTAGTAAATTACTAAATCGAGAACCATACGTATGAGACACATTCATTTCAAGTGCGCCAGTTTTTAAAATATATATTTAAAATTCCAACCAATAACAACAAGAAGTCGTTGTAGTATAGTGGATTGAGTACGACGTCGTTTTCTATCCTCTCTTTTTTCAATGGATTACTGAGTTTTGTTTACAGTTGATGTGTTTCCATTGAGTTGTTTACAGATTTCATTAGAATGAAGTGATGCATGGAAAGCTTTTATTGAAATATATCTGACTTACATCTTTATTTCTTCTTTCAGCCTGCCTATTGTCTTTGCCGGGGTCGTAAAATCGATCGAGAACTCGATGAGCTCGGCCATATCTGGACTTCGGTAATAGTTGCTGATAGGCTTTGTAGCCAAAACTGAATTCGGGTAGTACACCTTTTCGTTATCGAGCTTCAGGAAGACGGTTGTTAAGATGTTCATCTCCTCCACCAACAACTGTTGGTTATCGGGTAATAAAGCATAGTTAGTAATCTTTTACAGACATGTGTGTATAGGACCATCGGCATGTCCTTACCTGAACACCATCGACCACACAACGATCACCTACATCGAACGGATGCATCACAAATACGAATATGATGGCTTCGAACATTGTCTTGCAGGTGTTTCCAAACATAAAGACCGCAACTACTAGTTGTGATGAAAGGAGAAAAAGCACTTTTGTAGTTGCAATTTCCATCAAAAGAACCCATATGACAATGGTAACAATGATCAGGATCACAGTCACCAGTTTGTTCAACTGCTTTACGGCCGTTTTGGTGTCGCTCAGAGCATCCGCTAGCGTCTTCCGATCCTGGAAAACCTTTATCTGTACGAAACAATACGTTGGTCTATATATGTATGCATGTATGTATGTTGGAGTTTAATATAGTGCTCTTACCACCCAGTTTGTGAAACTTTTTCTGTCAATTTTTCCAGTGTTTGATCCTTCAAACAATGGAAACACATGATCCACTTCCTCCTTGATCATGAACCTCAATAGGTCATCCCCATCGATATAACTGATCATAAAGAGTACATAATAAGATACAGGACATAAAGAAAATGCAACGGAAAATCAATCGTCTCACCGGCGATTGTGATTGTTATCGTGTCGAGCCACATTAGAGAAAACTTGATGAGCAACATACTGTGCCTCCTCCTCATTAGTGATTTCTCTATCCCCTGTTCCCCGCCGTCTTTGTAAACGCTTTCATCTAATGTGTTGGAGACGGTTGAAAG